CCGCGTTCTAGCACACACCAGGCATTTGGCAATGTAAGGCAGTAAGTCGTTAGGCCCGTGGAGCCTGTCTCTCACTGTACGCTAAAATAGATCCGCAGTGACGCTCGGTGTTTGTCAGTGGTAGGTAACGACAGCTCCTCGAGCGGAAGCGGCACGTTACGATGACGGTTTCTCCGGGAGGATTGTTCCGAGAGGAAGGCCGAGGACGACCCTGGAAGGACCGGCCGGTCCCAACGAGTTCGCTTAATTAACGGGGAAACGGTTTTTCGTCGGAGACTCTTCCGTTTCTTTTCATCGTAATCCTTTCTCTTTCGCGTTCTTTTATCCGTGTCCTTTTTCGGCTCCTCTCGGCTAGCCGGCCTCGCAACGCGCCCGCCTCGTCAGCTTCGCTTACCACTAATACAAAGAAAACGTACCAGTACGTTTGGCAGCGGCGTGCACTTCGACAAGCACCGCAAATACACTCCGCACCGTGTTCTTTTGCTCGGCTCTCGTCTTTCTCACTAGTTTACATATCGAACCACCCACTTATGCGCTAAAACGGTTCTCGTTTGAATCGGAATGCTGTGCACCGGTCTCCTCTACAAGCGACGCGACACCTTACAATCGTGCGTACGTGTGTGTTTTTCTGTATGTGTCTGTGTGCGTGTGTGTGTCTCTCTCTCTCTATTTTTGCGTATGCGTATAGGTGAGCGTGTGTGAGCGTGTGTGTGTGTGTGTGTGTGTGTGTGTGTGTGTGTGTGTGTGTGTGTGTGTGTGTGTGTGTGTGTGTGTGTGCGTGTGTTCGTTTCGATACCGCCGGAGAAAATTTGCGTGCGCGTCCGCGAAATTTCGACGGGGAAGAAGAAGAAGAAGATGATGATGATGATCTATATTATACTTCGTGGTCTCTCGAAAACCCGACAAGCACACACCGGCGAGATCACGTGTTCGTTCGTTCGTCCATATATGTATATCTTGTTCTCTAAAGCGTACCGCCGGCGAACACATTATAGCAACGGGATAAAAGTGTAGCAGTTTCTTTCCGAGCGTGAACACACACAGAACCGTCCCCGTCATTTTTTCATTTTTATACACGATACAGCTTTACGGTTTTATTTTTGGCTCCCCCTCTGAATTATTTCGTGTTTCGTATGTTTTTTTTTGTATGTTTCTGTTTCGTATTTAGATATTTTAGCTGTTTCTTTTTTGTTTGTTTTGCTTTTAAATGGCTACGAATAGAATCGTTATTGCTGTGGCAATGGCGGTCACGGCGAGCTTGGGAGTATCTCCAGCGGAAGGATCTATATAGTAGTCCGTAGTGGTGCCCGTAGATTCTGATAATGATAAAAATGTGACTTGTAAAAGGATCGTTGCGGCTTGAAACATGGTAACGAAGAGAGAAGGGGGGGTTGGATTATCTAATGCCTAGATATGCCCATCGAGTGGCTACCCGACTGTTTCTCTAAATCGCTTTGTCTACAAGGGTCAAGGGGACTGAGGAGTCTCTTAATTGTCGAATCGACGTTTACGTTCGACGTCGCGGCGCTCTCTCGAGCGGCATTGTTGCGAATTGCTTAAAGCGGCTTCTCGGAGGGTTGACGGGATGGCTTTTGAGAGGACAGGATCGAGGCGTCTTCTTGCCATTGTCTCGACTCGATTGCCGTGGGGTCGCGGACTTTTCGTTCAACGGGAATTTCCATGATCATTTTAGCGGGCCTCGTGGCTTTGAGACGTTCTACGTATATCGTAATTTGAAATATTCTTCGTTCTTCATCCCTCCCTTCATTCTTTTTCAATTTGACAAATCGTTCACTGAATCTGGATAAAATAGTGTTTGTACGTTGTTTCAGACTGCGGATTTTATGCACTTATGGCATAAGCATTTAAAACAGTGAAAAGGTTAATAGAAGCTAAGAATGTTGACGTATTAATTTGAATTCATCAAAATTATTACAGAAGAAAATATTATGCTTGGTTTCTGTGCCTGACAATGAATGGAGACAATTTTTATTTCGCGTAAAGATTCGCAGTCGACTTATTACTTGCGAAAGATTAGAATGATTTTATTTTAATTTTGTATAATACACTGTTACTCTTTGGGATACAAGGTGTAATCTTAGGATTTGTTTTTTAAATTCTATGAACATTCTCTGTAGACTATAAACCGAAATATTCAAAATAATACAAAAATACATAAACTTAACAGCGAAAATCAATTTTCCTGCAACGTTAAGAGACCATAGAGTACCGTTACAGGGCTAACTTGTCACACCTTGCTTTATCTTTCAACGGAACAACTTACAAAATTAATTATGCATCTATCCACCATGTTCTCTTTCTATCGTTGCGTCGACTTGACAGCAAGGAATAAATTCAACTGAAGAGATGAAGGACGGATGAAGATTAAACAAACAAAAATAGAAATCAAAAGAATCGTAGAGCCTTTTCTAATAGACTCTACCTTAGAACAGTGCAATTAAAGAAAAAAAGTTCTAACATTATAAACTCCGATGAGAACAGACAAAGAATGAAAAGTAAAAATACTTTGTTCGCCAATATGTGAAAAAAAAACGTTTCACATAATAAATACTCTTCCGACCAATATATTTTTGAATAAATAAATATCAAGGCGTTTCAAACTAGGACGAAAAGGAACGATCGAGGATCAAGATCAACGTGGCAAAGACAAACGGGAGCCGCAGCGAAATTTTCNGTGTGTGTGTGTGTGTGTGTGTGTGTGTGTGTGTGTGTGTGTGTGCGTTCGTTCGTTTCGATACCGCCGGAGAAAATTTGCGTGCGCGTCCGCGAAATTTCGACGGGGAAGAAGAAGAAGAAGATGATGATGATGATCTATATTATACTTCGTGGTCTCTCGAAAACCCGACAAGCACACACCGGCGAGATCACGTGTTCGTTCGTTCGTCCATATATGTATATCTTGTTCTCTAAAGCGTACCGCCGGCGAACACATTATAGCAACGGGATAAAAGTGTAGCAGTTTCTTTCCGAGCGTGAACACACACAGAACCGTCCCCGTCATTTTTTCATTTTTATACACGATACAGCTTTACGGTTTTATTTTTGGCTCCCCCTCTGAATTATTTCGTGTTTCGTATGTTTTTTTTTGTATGTTTCTGTTTCGTATTTAGATATTTTAGCTGTTTCTTTTTTGTTTGTTTTGCTTTTAAATGGCTACGAATAGAATCGTTATTGCTGTGGCAATGGCGGTCACGGCGAGCTTGGGAGTATCTCCAGCGGAAGGATCTATATAGTAGTCCGTAGTGGTGCCCGTAGATTCTGATAATGATAAAAATGTGACTTGTAAAAGGATCGTTGCGGCTTGAAACATGGTAACGAAGAGAGAAGGGGGGGTTGGATTATCTAATGCCTAGATATGCCCATCGAGTGGCTACCCGACTGTTTCTCTAAATCGCTTTGTCTACAAGGGTCAAGGGGACTGAGGAGTCTCTTAATTGTCGAATCGACGTTTACGTTCGACGTCGCGGCGCTCTCTCGAGCGGCATTGTTGCGAATTGCTTAAAGCGGCTTCTCGGAGGGTTGACGGGATGGCTTTTGAGAGGACAGGATCGAGGCGTCTTCTTGCCATTGTCTCGACTCGATTGCCGTGGGGTCGCGGACTTTTCGTTCAACGGGAATTTCCATGATCATTTTAGCGGGCCTCGTGGCTTTGAGACGTTCTACGTATATCGTAATTTGAAATATTCTTCGTTCTTCATCCCTCCCTTCATTCTTTTTCAATTTGACAAATCGTTCACTGAATCTGGATAAAATAGTGTTTGTACGTTGTTTCAGACTGCGGATTTTATGCACTTATGGCATAAGCATTTAAAACAGTGAAAAGGTTAATAGAAGCTAAGAATGTTGACGTATTAATTTGAATTCATCAAAATTATTACAGAAGAAAATATTATGCTTGGTTTCTGTGCCTGACAATGAATGGAGACAATTTTTATTTCGCGTAAAGATTCGCAGTCGACTTATTACTTGCGAAAGATTAGAATGATTTTATTTTAATTTTGTATAATACACTGTTACTCTTTGGGATACAAGGTGTAATCTTAGGATTTGTTTTTTAAATTCTATGAACATTCTCTGTAGACTATAAACCGAAATATTCAAAATAATACAAAAATACATAAACTTAACAGCGAAAATCAATTTTCCTGCAACGTTAAGAGACCATAGAGTACCGTTACAGGGCTAACTTGTCACACCTTGCTTTATCTTTCAACGGAACAACTTACAAAATTAATTATGCATCTATCCACCATGTTCTCTTTCTATCGTTGCGTCGACTTGACAGCAAGGAATAAATTCAACTGAAGAGATGAAGGACGGATGAAGATTAAACAAACAAAAATAGAAATCAAAAGAATCGTAGAGCCTTTTCTAATAGACTCTACCTTAGAACAGTGCAATTAAAGAAAAAAAGTTCTAACATTATAAACTCCGATGAGAACAGACAAAGAATGAAAAGTAAAAATACTTTGTTCGCCAATATGTGAAAAAAAAACGTTTCACATAATAAATACTCTTCCGACCAATATATTTTTGAATAAATAAATATCAAGGCGTTTCAAACTAGGACGAAAAGGAACGATCGAGGATCAAGATCAACGTGGCAAAGACAAACGGGAGCCGCAGCGAAATTTTCAGTACCCGATCGGACAATCGAAATGCCTCAATGACCCTTTTCCCTCCTCCTTGAGTGAACAAAATAGAGGCGACGATAATTAAACGGTCTTTCTCGTCAATGAAAAAAAAAAAAGAACCATATCAATCGGTGCGATAGCCTCGTGCACATATATATGTATGTATATATATAATAATATTTCAAAGAGAAATTACGACTTGAAAAAGGGCACTAATACTGAGATACGGAAAATGGTCCTCGAAGATGAAAGAATTTGGCGGATGATATATTCGGAACCACCGTTCTCCGATGAAGGATAGACGAGTTTCGACAAAAGAAGAAGACATGGTATGGCAACACTTACCCGTTGCGGTCTTAAACCTGGTCGCGCCCGGCTGGCTGAATCCCATTGCGTTGTGCGCCCTCAGCTCGACCTTGTAGAACGTGTCCGATTTCAGGTCCTTCAGCCACTGCTTCGTCCTCCCAGGCATCGTCACTTTCTGAGTTCTACAGGTGTTCTCCAGGTCCTCCCAGCTGCCGGACACGCGGTTTATCTGACAGACTCTAATCTCGTACATGTTGATCGGTTCCCCGTTGTCCACCGGGACCAGCCACGACAATTCGTATTGATTGCTGAACGTCGACAAGTCGTATTCTGTCGCCGACGATATTATTTTCGGCTGGTTCGGGAAGGTCCTCACGGGCGTCGTCTCGCGAAGAAATGCCCCCCAATTGCTTCGGCCAACCTTGTTCTGCGCTGCGAACTGGAATTCGTATGATGTTTGCGGTATCAGGCCCTCGATGCCGTACGACGACCCTGGAAACGACAAATCGTTCGAATCAACCGATACAATCACGACGTTCGGCTTATTTTCCTTCATTTTTTTGTCCTTCCCAGATCGTCTAAAGCACATCAAAGTTTCTCTTTCTACAAGAATTCGTCGGTAACTGTTTGCATCCTCCGCTCTAACTTTTGTTCTGGTAAATGCACACGTAGATTCTTATACACATTCTTATAGTTAGAATTAGGATTCTCGGAAAACGTTGCTGCCAAGAGCAACAAGATGCTGTCGAGAGAAAACTTGCTGCCTGTGGCTGTTCTATGATAAGTTGCTCCTGATGTACAATCTAGATCACTTCCAAGCTTGTTGCTGATGCCAGATTTGTATTAACTACCACACTATTTTTAGAAGCAATGCAAATTGTTGTCCAAGGTAAAAACGCACTTGTTGCTCTAGCCAGCTTTCGCACGAGTATCATATTATTCTCAGAAAGAATCTAGAGCGCTTCCGGAGCAAGAAGCACTTGTTGCTCGTGACTGTTCTACAATTACTCTCGCTAGCAATTCTATAGTGGTTTCTACCATAAAAAGCACTTGTTGCCCTAGAACAAGTTCCACCTTGCTCCCGGTACCCTAGATCATTCCGTGGCAAAAAGTATTCGTCGCTGGTGTCAGCTCCGAAGGGTTACATTACTTTCGAAAACTAAACTGCTCGCAAGAAAAGTACTTGTCGCTTTTGAAAGCAATCTGGCATTGGCGGGCAAAGTGGGCCGCGCCGCTTTCACCGCGAAGATCCAATCTGTCACTTACCAACGGACAACGTCTTGTTGCTCGCCTGCTGCCAGGTCTGACTCTCGTTCTTGTACCTCACGACGACGTTGGTGATAGGTAGCTCCACGTGCGTAGACGGCAGTTCCAGCTCGAACTTGATGGTGGTCGCCGTGACCTCGATCATCTTCGATTGCTGTATCACGCCAGGCTTGGAGGCTTCGCTGAGTTCAATGTTGTGCGTCCGGGTGCCATGAATATTCGACGCGATGCAATTGTAGACCCTGTAGTACCGCCTGTCGAGAGGCACGATCATCAGAGTGGAGCGCGGTCCGGCACCATCCTGTTTGATCATGGCGTCGTTGTCGATCGTCTCGCCGCCGTTGACGGTCCAACGGATGGTCGCGTTCGGTATGCTCTCGGCGATGCAGCTGATGTTCACCGGTCTCTGATCCCAGGACCACTCGGTGTTGTTCGGCATGGAGGCGAACGACGGCGGAAACTCGACAGTCAAGTGTCCGTTCCTGCGCGCCTCTCCACCTGTATTCTGGGCGATACACTCGTACAGCCCGTCGTTCGATCTCATCAGCTTGTCGATGGTCAGGGTGCCCACCGTCTCTCCCTTGACCGTGTCAGACACGTTCTCCAGGAGGATCGTGTCGTCGTCTTGTTGCGAACCTTTCACGTAAGGCTTCTCAGACGTGTGCTTCTTGAAGACGACCTGCGGCGGCGGTCTGCCGAACGCCTTGCACACGATCGTCCCCTTCTTGCCCTCTATCTGGCTAGTGTTCTGGAATTCCATGATCTTCGGCTTCACGATCACGTTCACCAAGAAGTTCGTCGTCGCCGAGCCCGCCTTGTTCGTCGCCGTGCACTCATACCTCCCAGCGTCGTCTCTGTTCACGTTTGTGATCGTCAGCACGCCGTTGTCCGCGTTCACCCCGAAACGATCCACGTTCGACAGGTTCTGCTTCGTCAGCGATTTCACCCAGGTGTACCTCGGAGGCGGCTTGCCGTGAGCCTTGCACTCGATGTTCGCGTTCTCGCCCTCCACTATGTCCACCGAGCTCGGCAGATCCTCCACAGTCGGCCGCACGTGCACCTGGAAAATGAAACCCGCCGATCGTCTGATACCTGTCGATCGCTTGAGCTGGGTCGAGTTTCTAGAGGATAGATTTGAAGCACCGCCTCTCAGTTTCAAGTGTGACGAGCACAAGTTCTCGATCATAGAAATATTTTCACTCGAAGCCTCTACATTCGAAACTCTTAGATTGCTTTTCATTTCTCAAGTGTCTCGGACACGTTTTCAGCCATTTCTGCGAACACTTTTCGATCCCTGTCATTTCTTTGTTAAACGACGCTTAAGCGCCGTGGCATGTGACACGTGATTCAAAAGTTTGCTTATGCACGTCGCTTCCCAGCAACATTTATCGCGTTGTTAACGTTAAACACCGGTTTCCAAAAATATTAGATTAAATTATTAATTAAATATATAAAGAATTAAATTTATTACATTATTGATATCTTTTGTTTCGAGATCGTAGACATCGTAAGGAATCTTTCATAGGAAATTATTCGACGGATTTACGGACAAACGTTAGTCACTTTTAATGCTCGGTAGGTTTAGCGTTAATGGTCTGGTGTTGCTTTTATGTGGGTGGACAACTAATCGGTTTCGTAATTTTAACAACCTGTGCGGTTCATATAATTGGTAGAACAATGTACAAGACTGACGCTATAGTATCGGTTTTTCTTATACGGATCAGCGAACAGAAAACTTAATAAAATTCAATTGAAATTGTCTAACATTGTGCCGAATAAGAGAGACATGCTTACTTTACCGATGAACGAGAAGATCGCGTTAATTACGTATGAAGAACAATTTTATTTCGTTGTGTGCGCCACGATCGATTTATCATAAAGTTGGCATTTATTATTTGAAATGATGTTCTGTTCTTTCCTGCCCGGGAACCGTGGTTAATTGGCGTACACAATTGTGGGTGAGAAGAGACTGCGTTAATTATGGAAATCAGCCTGACGCGCCTCGCTCGGACACAACTCGATTTTCCGAGCCAGCAATAATGTTTCGGATGCGTGTTTGCGGCCGCGGTGCGATATTGTTTGAACGGTTGCGTGATTTCGATGTTTCTAGGCGAAATCATTTGGATGGCCTGTTGTTTTGAACTCCATTGTCTCGCGATATTGATGTGAAAATGGCGGAGCGCTCGATGCTTAAGATTCAAGATAATTTCTAACTTTTAGAATCTAATTCTTTAAGTCATTAGATTGCGGATTTTATGCGTTTACCGGAAAAATGAGCAAGCGAAATGCGCAGCAACAAAGACACCGGAAAAATTTTGAAACTTGTTACGCTATTTTCTATTTGTTAGAACTATTAAAAGAAAAAGTACATATTTATTTGAATCGTGTTCCATGTAAGTGAGGAAAACAATTTTTATTTTGCCTAAAAATCCGCAGTCTAACAATAACACGTTGATTCAATGCTTTGCAATGGAATGGTTGCTTTTGATCTTAAGCTTACAATTCTACAGTGTGAATTCTAAATAAAATGTCAATTGGAATTGTTCGAAAATTTTCATTTACAAGCTTGGAAATACATTTGTACGAAGCTGCCGGTATAGGTGGAAGCCCATGGCCCCGCTATTGTTAAAAATACTGAACCTTGCGCATTGTTCGACTTTTTCTACTGCGATTATTTCCGGTAACGCTAGCGCGTCAGCAGCTGTCATTCAAACGCCTCTGTTAAAACAAGCCACGATCAAAGCGTTGAAAACTAGTCGAATGGAATTGCATGGATTTCACAATTTTTACCGGAAAGTGACCCGAATCTATAATTACTGTTATATTATGTTCCAACTTGGCAAAGTCAATGTAACGACAGGGAAGTGGCGCAAAGCTTACCTCAACCCGAATAGGTCGTTCCTTAAGCTCCCCGGTGGTCAACACCGAAGCCCGGCAAGTGTAGATCCCGTCGTCGGATTCCTGTACGTTCTTGATATTCAGCGAGTACTTGTCGATGATGTAGTGGTCGTTCGTCTTAATTAATTCACCGTTGTAGAGCCAGTCGACTAAGGGCGAAGGCCTTGCCCTTACTGTGCACCGAATCGCGTAGTCTTCGCCCAGGATTGGGTATTGATTCTCGGGCGCATTTGTCCAAGTGATTGCAACTGCGAAACAGTGTTTGCTATTCACATCTCCAATTTATCTTACCCTCCCTCTCTACAAAGTATCTCTTTCGATCTCAGAAACGCAGACATCTTTAGCTAACTGGTTCAGGCTAAGATAGTAATTGAATTTATATTTTATATTTTTTATATTATTTATTATATATATTTTATATTATTTGTATATTATTTATATATTATTTATTTATATATATATATTTGTATATAAAATTTATTATAAATTATATATATATATATAATTATAATATAATTATAATAATAATATAATAATAATATAATAATAACAATATATATTATAATATAATTATAATATATAATCTGTATACAATTAAATAATATAATAAATAGCGTTAACATTTAATATATATTAAATGTATAATATTATAATATTATAAATACTGTTAAATGTGTATAATATATTAATACTATTTCATGTAGAAAATAAAATCTAGTTGACAGCAATAGATACATTCGCTCAATCATTTCATCAATTTTAATCAATTTTATGTTAGCTCTGTTAAATGAACACAGTGGAATGTTCGATCATGAACGATCTTCAAACGATAGAAATATGGCGACAGCATTGTATTTTTTTCGTCGAAAGCGAATCGACGCCAAGCGTACCGAATTAGTTTTCGAATGGAAATTAGTTACTCACCAATAGTGTCGATCGTCACGGACTTGTTCAAATATATCGAGTTCGCGTAAGTGCCTTTACACGTGTACTTCCCGGCCTGCTCCTCTTGAAGGGAGTTGAAGTACAGCGACAGGCTGTTGTCCTGGTGTAGTTCGGTGTACATCGGCGGTTTCGTGTACCCTGAGAACGTGCTATTGGAAATAATCGAAACATTATTAGGCTATCGACGTTGTGTACACCACAGAAACTGATCTACGTTCTATGATGATGAGCGGAGCGTACAGATGAGTTGAAGAGTATAGGTGGTGGGGAAACATATTGTAATGATCTCGGCTCAACGTTTCGTTATTATTCTGTAAACATAATGATTTCACTCTGAAAATCTCCAGTCGAACATAATTCCGCTTTTCCTCGGAAAAGTTGCAAAATCCTAATGTGTTCGTTCCCATAATTTTCAAAATTACTAGGAGAACACCTGAATTGCCACGATATCGCGGGACAATCTTCGGTAACTAGAAACGATCGCTTCAAGCCTGGCAAAAGTGAAAGGGCGAAGGCAAAACTACGGTGGATATCAGGCCGGCCTAAGTATAGTCTAATCAATAACCAACCGCTGTTCGTAACTTCGTCACTTTTGCCACGGGCACCCGTGGAGATCGTAAATCGCCTCTGTCGACTAATCCTAGTTCTAAACGCGAAACATCGAGCCGATATCGGTGAAATATATCGTTACAGGTGGTACGAGAGAGAGACAGATAGAAACAGATAGGGGGTGGCGGGGGGGAGTGTAAATGAACGCGTCGAATTCGGATCGATGGCGTGAGAGAGGTCGGTCGCGGATCGATCGACCTCTAATTTGTCCTACTAACAAAGAGCCGGATCATCGATCCAAGGGCTACGGATCGCGGGGACCAGCAATTTCGATGCTGGCGTTGCGCAAGGTGGCAACCGGCACGAACGAGACGCATTCACACGAATCCGTGCAATTTACCGACGCCGCTTGGCGGTGTGCGCGAGAGATAAGGCGGTCCAGGTGGATGCTGAATCGCGGTTGTAATGAATAGTTCCCGCGGACCACGCGGATTCGAACGGTTGCGTCAGCAGCGATACGGTTTAATGAACCCTTTCGGTCCTGGCTGGCGTAGTCGCGAGCTATGGTCCCGCCGAGAAAAAGGGAGCGGTCCTCGATCTGATCTACGAATGAATAGCCCGCTGCCGCGATCTATCGGAGCCAATCGGTTCCAATGCCGAACTTCTGTGCACTTGCTGCCGCAGATGAAATTATGCGATATACGATTCACGGGGCTTAATAACCGCGGAAAGGGCTTCTGGGATACGAAAGGCTTCCCTTCGAAGAGACAAGCTTCATTTCAAGCAAAGTTTACGCCAAATTGCTCTTGCCCTATTTACTTCGTGATGTTCTCTACTACTATATATCGTAAGGTTTTTATTCAGTTTTTGATTTTCATGATTTTACGAAAACTCAATGGACTTCGCTAAATTTTTCCAAAAGAATTTTGTAAATTTTTTCTAAATTTTTTCAAGATGAGGCTTTTACGTTTGGTGTAGACTGGTACCTTTATTATATCTTAAGACGCTTGTATCAGAAACTCTTATTTTTGTTCAAAAGGGAACGACGTGCGGAGACCAGCTAGTCTTGAAGATTTTTGCTGAACACGGTACAGCATGATTTTCTTAAAAGTTTTCGCAGTAAGATGAGTTTTCAGCGATGTTTATGAAATGCTACTTTAAAACGTACTTTTTCCATGTTTGCTTGAAAAGTTCCTTCTTTGTTCTGAAAAAGAGCTACAGTGAGCAAATGAGAAGATTAGCTTGCCTCTAAGACTTTTGCTGAACCCACTCGGCAACGATTTTCTTCAGAATTTTTATAACGCTATGTTTCTAGGGTGTTCATTTAAATAATTCCCTTAAAACCCGTCTCTTCCCTATAGATATAATGGTATGAATAATTATAGACTTAAACTTTTACATTTTCAGTAAACATTAAACATTTTCTTAAACATTTTCAGTTCATATGTAAACGGAAACTCAACAGAACGACATATTTGTATATTTCTATATTATTATATTATTATATAATATTATATATATTATAATTAATTATATATAATATATTATATATATTATATAATTAATTATATATAATATATTATTATATAATAATATATTATATATAATATATTATCTATATTATTATATTATTCTATATTGGAAATAATAGAAAATATATATATATAGAATTCTACAAATATAGTTTTTCTTCAGTTAAGTTACTTCGAGTTTCTAATTACTAGCAGCACTGTAGATGGCCTCCTTTACCTGAGACACCCTGTGTATTTCAAAACTTAACAAAATATCATATCTATATATATTCCTAATTTAGAAATAATAAAAAATAAAACTATACAAATATGACGTTTCGTTATATTTTTGTACGAATAGCAGTAGAAATGTAGAAGTTACTTCGAGCCTACAATTATGCACACCACTATGCATAAAATTCTCCCGTCTGTCAGCAACAAGAAAACGAAACTACGTCGAATAACAGCTTCTAATTTATCGCACCGGATCGAACGGTACGTCCTCGACAGTATTCCGAAGTTCGCCAACGCGACCGGCAATTGCAGAAGCAGCGTTTCCAGAGATCCACGGTAAATCGCGGCGAAAAACTGGCGGCATACTGAATAGAATTACTCGGCGGAGCAATTAGAAGGAAAGACCGAGCAGCAGTAGCATCAGGGGTAGAAACGCGGAATGGAAACCGGTAGCGGGAACGATTAAAACTGACACGACGAGAGGCGAGATGCGATGCGCCGAAGCGATAACAATGTTAGCCCGGCGATTATGCAATTCCCCTCGTAGTTCTTTCGCTTCCGATCGGTACACGGGCCGAGCCACAATTAATGAAACGGCACTCGACCCGTGTTCCTACGCGCGTTCGCCGTGCGAATTTATCGGCCGTTACTCCCCGCGCGCGACGAGCAGACATAATTATGCAAATCGGGAACGGGGTCCCCGTGTAATCGGGCAAACACGCGATCACGACGAATCAGTTACCCGAGGCTAACGCTCGTTAGATCGTATGATCTCGGTGGACAAATATTTGCCGGGGGCCATTGGGACGGATTATTTATTAACAGGGGCGACGTCATCGGACAGATTAACACTGGCAAGACAGTGGTTCGGGGCGGTGGTGTCGCACAATGGGCACCACGTGAGGTATTGCATGGTTACCAGATCATCGTTTTGATGGGGTACTGAAGATGCTGGCCACGTATATCAGGGATATTGTCACCCTTTGTCGTATTCTACCGGGACCATCGCGGTGAAGGTTTTAACCCTTTGCACTCGAAGATAGTTTAATTGGAAATCTAGAATTTTGTTTTCTTACCTAAAGTATATTTCCACTTTACATGAACTATTTCAAATTCGGAAGTTGAACCTATAATACTTGCATCGTAGAACAGTTTTTTTATAGTATCAATAATTTTGATATTGTTAAAATTATTTTGAAACGAGATATAACAATTTTTTTTATTACAAAGCTGAAGAATCTTGTTAATCCTTTGCGCGACGATTTTCTTCATGGCTACGTTGATTAGCACTTCTTATATATTTAATTAACGATAATTACCCTAGTAGAACGACATTTTGCTACCTGGACTCTTTTGTAATTAAAGTGACACATTCATTAATATTCAGAAAGCTAAAGACGGCGAACAGGAACTAAATAACATTTTTATTAAAATAGATACACTGCTCTTATTTTCTGCTTGTATCTCTTTCACTGAAAAAATGAGCTCACTATCACTTCAATAAAATGATAAATAATACAGAACTCAACGAAACAAATTATAAATATGCCATCGAAGATCATGTCGAATTATTTTTCTGAATTTTATACTGCAGGCTGACCAATTGCTGTGTCTTTGGTTTATTTTCGGGAAATAAGACATATTACATTTTTTATTCACTTTTTTACTTATTTCTGAACATTATATTTATCGAATAAGACATTAAATTTCTTTCATTCTTTTATTTTGTTTATTTTTGAATGAAAAAATTTAATGTCTTGTTCGATGAATATAAACTTAATTACAACCGAAAACAAACCAAAGGCACAGCAACTGGTTACCCCACAAGGTCCCACTATTCTGTAACAGTTCAAATTTTAAGATTATTTGGACATTTTGATTCATCATTCTGATCTATCTATGGTATTATCTAAAAGCTAAGTTGACTCTTTTTCTGAATTTTATACTACACAAAATTTTTATTAAAACTGCGAGGGTTGCGGTGATAATAAACCAAGCTGATCCACGTTCGGCTCATCTCCAGTTTCCCGGTCAATCAAACGGCACAGGTGAGCAACACTTCGCGTGGCTGACCCGTTAAGGGGTACGAAAACATTAAAACACGGCAAAGGAGCCGCTTAATTGCTGGAGGTCACATGGTCACGGTGACCGTCGGTGTTGCGTCGCTGAATGGCGGGCTCCATAACGCGTCCGGGGATCCCTTAATGTCTATTTCAGCCGGGCACCGCAGCTCTCGGTGGTTTTCTTGCCTGAACGGCAAAGTATACACGGGGGCAGCCGCTTAACGTTCAAATACAACGGGAAGCCAGTTTACTGGCTGGAAGGCGGAAAACTTTCGCGAACGGCTTAATGAGCAACGCTTAGTTCGCAGAACAATCGGCCGAGCCAGCAATTAAGAGCTCCTGTACAGTCTGTAGTAGACGTAAATCAGCCACGGGGGGTAGTGACGGTGTGGTTATGGTGGTGGCTGGCTGTGTGGCAGTGATGGTGGTGGTGATGGTAGTGGTGGTGGTAGTGGTGGTGGTACTGATGGCAGTGGTGGTGGTGGTGGTGGTGATGGGGTGATGAGAAGAAAAACAGTGTTCTAAGTTGCACAGAAACTAAAGTAACTAGTGAAGGTACATCGCAAAACAGAGGGAGCTGAAAACGATGACACTACGGTTGCGTGTAAAGTCTTGAATTGAGTTTTGTATACTCGCCTTTCGATCGGTAAGACGACGAGTCTGTGTGCAAAACAAGTGACAGAAATTTCGTTATATTAGTGGCTGGGTGGTGGTCGTGTTTTACTTGTGTGTTACATTATTTGTTCGTTTACTTGCTCTTTCAGTAATCTACGGATCGGCGCCTGCGATACCGATCTTTTTGCAGCGAGTAGAAATAGATGTACTGACTTTATTACGATCATTATGCTTTATAGTTTGTTACGGATTCACGTTGTGTTCGAAGAAAACTTCATTTTATTTGACACTGTGTATTTATCTTTTCTGGCAATTGTACTTTATGGATATTTTAGATTAATCGCCAGTCCTTGTTTTGCAGAGTTTCATACTGCATTAATTTCGATAAAGTATTTATTGAACTATTCATCTTTCGGTGAGATTATATTTAGTAGGATTCGATAAGCTTGCAAGAGTTTAACCCTTCTTTGAAGTAAAAGTTCGCCAATTTTCTGTGTCTTCGTGTCGAAGAATGTTCGATTTATTATCCTGTTTGTCTTGCAAAACGTGTTTCCTTAATTTAAAAGATAAAACTAGAACGAGCGAAGCTGTTTTCTAAAATCTTTAGACAATTGCTAATTCATGAGAAGATTTGACGATGTTTTACAACGTTCGACAGGACTAAATAAAATTCGTACGAGCCGAAGTCCGATTGAGAACGTTTGCTCTCCATAAAAATTTATTTGTCGCGAACTTATTGCTACAACTATTTGATCCAGCTCACAGTAACAGATGGCACGTATTTGCAAAAATCCATTCTCCTATTTCTACTCGCGGATGTGTCAGTTCGTTACCGCAGCTGACATCCTGCGCGTAACTCTCTTTCTCTCACTCTCTCCTTTTTAATTATTAGCTCGAAGCGGCGTTGTTATTGTATTGAAGAAAAAAAAATAAAAAGAAAAAAGAAAGCTCAAAAGCGTGAACACCCCCCCTGCTCGTATATTCTCGTCTGGCCTGACACACGTTTGTTTGCGCTGTCGCGATATTTTTGCATTCCGCTTCTCGTTCCTCGCGCTCGCTACGATCACTTGAATAACGACCTTCAACTGCACTGTCTGCTCCTGTAAATCTAAAGGATTTAATAAATCAGCGGAGCCTTTGTGGCCGTCGTGCCCCGTGGAACGAACCCGGTTACAAAGCCGTGATTTTATTCGAAACTGTTGAACATGTTCCACGGCCCCGTTCTATGAACAGAGAAATGTTCCGGCGCTGCGAATGAATAGTGATTACTCTTATCCGAGAGCCGTGTAGACTCGGAACACAAATCCGACAATTGTATCGCGCGATATCTCCGTCGCCAGTGACGATTTCAGCAGGAAATTCTGAATATTAAACTTGTCTCGTGTAGCACGAAATTTTCTTCGAGGAGAAGACCAAGAAGATATTAAATTATATAATCGGAGTAGAGATCTTTTTGTCAAGAATGACCAGCTCGAATATGAAATTCTGTGAAGGCATTAGAAGAATCTGAGGATATTATTGTATCGTGTCGGACTTATTAAAATGGCCACAACAGGTATGGCGTTCTTATTAAACTCTTACGTTTCGTACAATTAACTCGAGGCAATTTTTATTTTGCACAAAAATCCGCAGTTTAGTAATATAAAAACAGTGTCGATGTTAGACTGTATTAGTAGCACGAAATTTTCTTCGAGGAGAGGACCAAGAAGATATTAAATTATATAATTCGAGTAGACCTTTTTGTCAAGAATGACCAGCTCGAATATGAAACTGTGAAGGTATTAGAAGAATCTGAGGATATCATTGTATCGTGTCCGACTTATTAAAATGGCTACAAGAGGAATGCCATTTTTATCAAACTTGCGTTTCTTACAATCGAGACAATTTTTATTCTGCACAAAAAAATCCGCACTCTAGTAATTTAAAAACAGTGTCGATGTTAGACTGCAAGGATACAAGCAAATTTTTGAGGTGTGCTCGCGTTTTGTAAAATACTCCAGCGAGACGTAATGTTCGTTTAATTAATGTTCACTTGGATGAATCCACCAGTAAACGAAAGAAATTGTTTACAAATTCTACTCTTTACGAAATAAAAATCTGCACAAAGATCCGTAGTCGAATCGCAGCGAGCGTGATCGAAAACCCCCGAGCGACCGCGAGATTCCCAGAAGAAAGAGAAGCAAAAGTATCGAACAGCATCCTTTCTCTCAATTATCCTTTCGCCTCGACGGTCCCGGAGCGTTGCGCGATAATGTACGGATTCCGGACGCGCCGAGAAAAATTGATGATCGAGGATCGATCGGATTAATCCATGCCAAACGAGAGTACACGGTCGGCGAGGGGTGCTGTGTGAACTGCATTTAACGATGCACGGATCGATCTACTCACTTCAGGGACTCGATCGGACGGTTCTGCGTATCGAGCCATTGCATGTCGCTGATGAGCTTCGTGTCTTCGACCTTGGGCTTGCACGTCATGATGATGCTGGACCCGATTGGCTTCGTCTGCGTGTCGCCGCTCGGCAGGATCTCCAAGGAAGCTTCGTCCGCGAAAGCTGCAAGCAGAAACCGAGACGTGACCGGTTGTTACATTGACACGAGACGGATCGTTAGCGTTCCTCCGGCTCGAAGGAACGGGAAGGACACGGAAAGCAACAGAATCGGAGCGGAGAGACGCGGAGAGGGCGGCGAGACACCGAGCGTTCCACGATCGTTTCTTGCCTCTCGGTACCGACGCCGCGCCGCTTTAATCGGCCGAGGGTAATTGCACGTAATTCCGTAATAACGAGAGGCGATTACCTTCCCGCGTCCCTGGAAACTGTCCGCGATTTTTACAGACACCTGAAACACGAGCACGTACGCTCCCGCTAAGTCACGAACCGGCGCTCAGCGGAGCATTAGGTTCGAAAGGCTGGCCAAAATACGATTTATCAAATGATGACAAATTTTGGCTGTCCTGAGCTATTGAGATCTATGAACGACAATGTAACAGTATTATATTTGTTACTAACGTCTGCATCGAAAGTATTGAATTTTGTAGTATTCATTTTTCTCTTCGTCCGTTTCTGAAATATCGCTCGATCGTCAGGATTTTTGCAATACTTTTTAGATAGTTGTACACTACATTTTTCCGCGATCTTTACTTTTTTTATTATTTGTCCGTTTAAAATTATTCAAGCTTGAAGACGATCTATTATTTATTCCGATATTTCTCATGTGTAGAATTTTCGCGAAAACAATTTTTAGGCTTCCAAGTTTTTTCAACATTCGAAATTGTAAAAGTTTGTGTTAGGAATGCAAAAAGAATTGACCGCTAAGATATGCCAACACGGCTTTTACATTATTTTTTATAATGCGATGCATGGAGCAAAATA